CCCCCCTCCCCGTAACCTCCAAAAGGGGAATTTTCCAGCTGGTAATTTCTGCTGCGTCAACACCCAGCTCAAGGGAGAGGAGAAGAGACAAGGGGGCATTTTAACAGCAGCTCCACTTGCGGATAGCCAGCCTCAATCCCGGCTCCAGCATTAAAACCCTTTCCGCCCCCTAAAATCCAGCATCCGTGCAAGTTGGACCAAGAGTTTGTCAGGAGTGTGGTTCAAAACTGCTTGGAAAAAGGGATGAGGTAATAATACTGGTGAAGCATGTTGTATTTCTCTCTTTCTGCCTGTCTCTCTCTTTCTCTTTCTCCCTCTCTTTTTTTTTTTTTTTTTTTTTTTTTTTTTTTTTAAAGCCAGGCCTGTTTTGGGTTATTGTCTCCCCCTAAAGCCAGACATAGATCGCCTGGCCTTGCCTCCATTTTAATTGCAGGCTGAAATGGGGGAAGTGACCCTCTTTAAAAAAAAGAAATACAAAAAACCCCAACAAGCAAACAAACAAAAAAAAGCCTTGAAAAAATAATGCTGTTCCTTTGGGGGGGATATAGGTGATTTTTCATAAGGCTGTAACAAGTGCAAAAGTGGCTGGAAATGTTCTCTGTCATGCTGGGAAACTAGTGAGGTATCCTCCCCCCTCCCCAGAAAAAAGTGCTGCTAGAATTTGGCGGAGGGGAGAAGGAGAGGTGCTGGGAAAAGCAGGGGTTGTGCTGCTGGATTGCCTTTGTGTCTCTGTAAATAGACATGTCAGTTCCCAAAGTAATACAAGTAGTGTCTGATAACTCAATCCCAGATGACAAATAGAGAATGGAGCAGATTTTCAGGACTGTAATAGTGGGAGGATTTCTCTTTTGAAACGGAGAGGAAAAAAAATGTTGCTACCTCCTGAAGAGGTTCTTCCCCGGTGCGTTATTGTGGAGCAGAGCATTCGGATGGAATCCGGAGACATAAACCCATATTTATTTATTTTTACACCTGACCGGGGAAAGATAAACAAAGGAGAGTTTAACAGCTCTTTAATGAATTCCTCATGCTTTTTATTTTGCAATCCCAATGATTCATTTGGCAAGCCTTGCAGGACGGGATTATTATCAGCATTGTTTAAAGCCATGCTAATTAGGAGATGTGTTTAGCAAACAGTGGCATTGTAGACACCTGTACCGAAGTTCTTGTGTGCATTTTAATTACATCACTGGTATCATTTTTAGCATTTAGCTGCTGTCATTGAGATGTAGGTCTCAGTCTGTGGACTCAATCAAGTATTTATTGAGTGTGGGTTCTCTGTATGCACAGATCAGTCCTGCTACTAATGCATTAAATGTGTTTTCTCAAAAAAGACAGGGAGTATTTTTTTCTCTTTTTATTTTCCTGTGGGGATTATAAGAAAGGGCAGTGATACCCAAGAAGAGTGAGAAGAATGTAATTTTTGAAGATGAAGCTTTCTGTGACTGGACAGCTCTTTCACTTTAATCAATACCTCACTTTTATGCTTTTATAGCCTCCTTTAATTGGAAATAAAATTTAACTTTCCCCTTCTAAACTCTCTCACTGTTTGTCAAGTTTTATATTTTGAAATCCTTAGTGATGGAAAAAAAGGGTGGAGTGTATTATTAGTCACAATATTTTCAACATGCAGTGAGGAGTTACAGCTTTGAGGTGTTTTTTGGGAGCTGTCAGGGAACAGGCAGAGGAGCTGCCCATGGGCTGGAAGGAGAGCTACAGGACAGGATTCAGGGGGCTCCCAAATTTCTGGAAAATATTCCATGGTTTGTTGCATTCATGGCATAACTGTAGCTGAAATAGAAAACGAATCTTTTGGTTTTGATGCAGCGTGTCCAGGAGGGGGAAACTCACTCACAGCGAAACTTCTCTCGCGGTTGTTTTCATAGACTGTGCGTTCGCCTGGGTGGAATTGATTCAATTTCTGGTACCAAAAACGGGGCATTCTAGTAACTCTCACCTTAGGTGTTTATTCCTGTGCTTTAAATGCTGCTCCATTCTGGAGTGTGTAGGACTGAGCCTTTGCAAACATGACCTGTACTTGGGGTTCTTGGAGACTGGAGAAAATGGGCCACTTTCTCCCCGTGGTCTTTGTTTTCTGGGACAGTTGTACAACAGTGGATATGTTCTTTGCGAGAGGATTTTTATTTTTTTTTTAATATCTGGAAGTGCTTAGAGGAAAACCAGTTTAGCAGCTCCCCCCTCCCCAGCAGCCCTCTGTCAAAAGGAAAAATGCCTCATATTTGGAAGATCTGTTAATTGCCTGTTTTTCCTCTGGTGATGTGTTGTGTTGCTGTGAGGTTGAGCATATTCTTTTTTTTTTTTTTTTTTTTTTTTTTTTTAGATCCGTGTTTTTGAAGTTCCTAAGCAAAATTTCCTCTCCTCCCAGCAGCAGCACAGAGCAGGCTGACACCCAATCCAAACTGCCACTGCCTGCTTTCAGGGCAGAATTATTTCATAAACAGCTCAACCTTTCCCAGGACATTTTTCCCTTCGTGTTGCTGGTTTTACTGGCTGCTCCAGAGCACTCTGTAACGCTTTCCAGACTCCCCCTAAATTGGTAAAAACCATTCACAGGGGTTTTCCATGCTCCTGTATGTTTAGTTTAATGGGCAAACAGAAGGGCAGGGAGAGGGCTTAGTTTAAGTCTTTGAAGAGCTACCTGCAGTTGTAATGGTTATCCCACATGTCTGTTATAATTCCCAGGAGGCAGCAATCTGTGTCCATTCCTGGCTGTGAGCACTACCCTGGAAAATTCTGACACTTTACACAGAGAGATTAATTCCGTTTTTATATTTCGCTCCTGGCTTGAGTTTGGCTGAAATATTTTGAAGTGTGGAGCTCACCTGTGTTCTCTTTGTGTGATATTTGAAACTCCAAGTGTGTTAACAGTGAAAGCGAGCAGGTTGTGTGCAGAGAGCAGGGGTCACGTTAGGAGAGAGCACAAGGAGCGAGCGTGGCTGTGGAGAGGCAGGAATTTGGGCTGCGGGAAGTCCTGCGATCCTACTCCATCCCTAAAACATCTCCGTGGGAGTTTTTATGATATCTGGGCAAAGCACAATAACAGTCAGGGCTCCAATGTTAGTTAAAATTTGTTGCTTCAAAACTTCACTTTACTCCCTTCCCATGGACTTTTTGTATGTTTGTGTTTGCAGCCCCCTTAAATACATCCTTCAGTAGTTGGGTTTCTCAGTTCCCCCTGGATCTTCGGTTCTTTCAGCAGGATGAGAAATAAAAGCCTGTATCACTTCATGTGGGGCTTCTTTCCTTGAGAAACCAGAGGGAAGAATATCAACTTCCCTAAACAGATCAATAGTTTTCTGGTTTGTGCTGCCTTGGTGTGTTTGGATGCACAAGGATGTCCAATTTAGAAGGAAAGCTGCTCTTTGGGACTCAGTTCCCATCCTCCAGCTGTTGACTGAACGTGTTGGTGTGTAACTTCTTGTTATACATCTCCCCTTCTGTGAAACAAGGGTTTACTCAGCTTTCCCAGACATTTTCAATTATGCTGGTGAAAAATTGTACTAGAAGTGCTTATTCTTAATAAAGGCAAACCAGTGTGAAGTCCTGGCTGAATTCCCTCTGGGATGTGGTGAGGTCCAGAGGCTCGTGGGTGGGGTTTGCTGTCCCTTACCAAGTCAGCTGTGGTGCAGTTATTTTCTGAACAGTCGCTTTGACTTTCTTTCATACCCATGTATTTAAGAAACATCAGGCTGCTGCTGAGATGTTGGTTTGGAATAGATTCCGAGCGCTCCAGAGGCAGGGTGAGATCCTTGACAGCCATTCTAATGAGATGGAAATGTGTCCCACTTGGCAGTGTTCAGTTGTGCATAGGTAAGGATGTCCCTGGCACAGGAGGGGAGAGGTGGCTTTGCTGCAATGTGACAGGTAGATGCTGAATTAGAGCTGAAATTCACCTTTTTGGCTTGATTTTTGGGGATATGGCTGGCTTTTATTCCAGCCCAGACAGTGGTGATCTTGTCCTGCTGCTGACTTGACTCATGTGTGCCCTTGGGAAGGAAAACACCCTGCAAATGTTGGAAGTTGCCCTGTGTTTGCTTTATAGTGACGCTGAGTTGGCATCTCCTGTACTGGAAAGAGGCACCAAGGTGTCAAAAAATTCTACAAACACATCTATGAGCTTGTGTGCTCATAACAAGGAAACAGGTGCAGAGCTCCAAGCAAAGGAAAATACATTTGTTAACGAGAAAGTGTGTACCAGGACCTTACCTGCCCAAGAAGCCTACTTAGAAAAGTGAACAGGGTTTTGTCTATTAAGGAATATGTTTATACCTTTGTATATTGAAATACCTAGTTACCTTTCCTAATTATTTCCTTGTCATATGTTGAACAAACGACTTATTCCATCCAAGTGAGTTTGCTTCCCGGCATTTCTCACCCCATGGAGAAGAGCTCTGCAGAAAGCTGGTATTTCAGGGCTTTGGGTTGCTCTCTTAGAGGAAAGGGTTAAACAAAATTTGCACCTTTTGCACTGATACAGCATCAGAGGAAATACCTTCCTGGCTAGTGCTCAGATCATGCCCTGGAACAGAAGAATCAATGGTCTGTATTGGACATTAGGTGCTTAAAATATCCAAACCCAACTAATTTAAGTGCCAATAAATGAAGTAGTCAGGGCCCAGTTGCTCTTAACAGTCCTGCTACTATAAGGTTGAAGAATGAGGTGGTGGCTAAATATAAAATGAGCTTTTTGACTTCCTTCTTGTTACCAATGTGTCCTTCTTGGCTTCACTTCTTTTTTTCTTTTATAGTAGTTGATCAAATCTGGATTATGAGATTTGTGCTAAAAAGTAAACCAGGATCCTTACCCAAGGCACGGAGGACTTGTACCATGAGTTACACAAACAGAATTAGGTTGTTCTCAGAGTCCTTCATATGCTATCTTTAGTTTTGCACTGGTTGATTATTTTACTCTTAGATTATTCATGACTCCTTGTGTGTCTTTTCTGTCTTTTAGGTGATCTTTCTCTTGGTTTTTACCCTTGCTTTACTTCCTTTTAAAAATCACCTCATGATTCTTCCTCCTTTGGCTCCCTCCCTTTTTACGTATTGAGTTAGGGAACTTTGGCAAAGATCCCCTAACTAAAAAGCCAAAAACCAATGAGAAAATTTGGGGGAAACCATTCTTCAGGGCAATTCCCAGTGTGCTAAGTTTACAGTTCTCCAATCCTTTTTTCTTTTCTTTTTTTTTTTTTAAGGTACTTTTAATGTTGTTTTCTGACTAATAAAGGCACAAGGGCAGAGTTTTTTACTTAGATTTCTTTTGTGACTTTTTAAAGTAAAAGCTTAAGATCTTGTAGGAGATCTTAAGGAGATCTAATGGCACTTGGACAGGTAAGTGTCATATGAGCCACAGGCATTTGAATTTTTCAGGTTGTTTTTTAATCTTTGTTGCTAGAGTAGCAGATATATCTGTAGCTAAATTCTTATAATTTTTGTTTGGTGTCACCAGACTTCTCAAGCCTGGTACCCTGTAGCAGTTCTGCCAAGTTCTTACTGCCTTCTGCAGGGTCCATGACACGAGTAGTGTTGGGTCTGTTCTCCCAGTGCAACCAGATGAGAGAGAGAACACTCATGATGTTTTCTCTCACTCAGATGAGTGAGAGAAAACAGGGGAATGATTTGAGCAGCTGTTACTGTACCAGGATGGAGAGAGGATGGGGAGATAGGCAGATGGACAGAGCTGGATATTATGGGGAAATGAATAAGGGAAATGCAGAGGTAATCCAAGTGCAGTGGAAATATTACTGTGCCCTGTTGCAAAGGTGCATCCTGTCATATTAGCAATTTGTTACCCACTGGAATATTGTATTTCAGGCTGCATAGCTCTTACAGGTGTGGAAAATAAATCTTCTGTTAGTTATTTGCATCTTCATTTTTGGTTTTGGGTCTTTTTTCAAATTTTTTTTTTCATGTTTGCAAGAGAAGCAAAGTGATTTCCTCAGTACTTGTGTGGATGCTGCTTGGTAGTTAAAATCTGAGGGTGTGATTCAGTCAAGCTGGATGGGAATAAAACTCAAATCTCTTCCTTTCACACAACATGGACACATGATTTTTCTGTAACCTCAGGCAAATATTTTGGTTTGAAGGGGAATCACTGTAATCATGAGGTGAGGTGAGATTAATTCCAACCCCACTTAAAGCATGTGGGTGGCAGAGGTCACAGAAACATTAACTGAAACTTACATGTCAACTGCAGCAATGTTGTTAAAGTTTTTTTAATTCCTTTTATAAAGTGCTGTTTTTGAGAGTGATGTTTTCAAAGCACTTCTGGAAGCGTAGTCAGAAGTGATTAACAGTCTTAATACTGGTGTGTTAAACCCTTTCTTTACATTAACACAAGGGCTAAATGATTTTTCTTGCATGATTAATTATAGGAATATATCAGAACATTTCTTGTTAAAATGGCAAACAGTGTTGTAAATATGCAGTTATTTTAAATATTGCTTGTAATTATGAGACACTGAAGGGGTTTGTATCGAGTTAAAGTTTGGATTTTAATTTTTGCCTCCTATTCTTTCCATTCCCAAACACAGGACATCTGATGAACCTTCTGGAGCTTCTTACCAGAGACCATTTTCCTCTCTTCATTGAAACATGCACTGTCCAGCTGTGAAACATTGCAAGGTTTATTTTTGCTAACAGGAAACACTTTCAAGTATCGGTAAGTTCTCAGCATTTAAAGATATTTTCGTCATGTGGTATGGGAAAGAGAAAGGGAACCTGGAGAAAACATTGTTATGAGGGCTGACAGTTCCTCACAAAACTTGATTTAACATTGATAACAAGGACTCATTTAGAAATCTTGGTCACCTGCAGAAGTTGGGGAAATACCCCTGGCTGTTCTGCTCCTTCCTTGTGGCAGAGGTGCCTCCATCCATCACAGTCACTTCTCATCTGTTTGGTCACAAGAGGGAAACAGGTGCAGAGCTCCAAGCAAAGAGAAAGTGCAGGGCTCAGCTTTGTCATTTTTACCAATCTGTTCAAGCTCCTTTTGTGCTCTAGGACAGGTGTAAGTGAGAGTTTTAACAGTACTAGCCCCAGGTCTAAGTGGAAATACCTACACCTTGTTACACTTTGTTAACAAAGTAATTCCCCATGTGTTTGGGTTGGTCTGGCTCTCTCACTTCACCACTTTATTTTTTCTTAACTGTCCAAAAAAAAGGACTAAAAAGAGCTCGCCAAAACAATTGCTATGGAGAAGCAATCAGAAATAGAGAAAGGCAAGACTTGGCAGTCCAGAATAGAAACTGAGAACAAAGTCACTGGTGTTTGCTTCAATTGGGTCATATTTGTTTTCAAGATTTTCAGTTCTGCTGTTAGCCATAAGAATGCTTGGTTTTTCCTTATTACTTCATTTGTTTATTGGATATTTTGTTTCACCTTCTGTAATGTCATTAATTTGTGTTGGAAAAGCTTTCTTAACTTTTATCTTCTGATGTTTCCTTTCACAATCTGTTACTACAGAAGGTCAGTCTTGAAATCACCAGTATTGATTTATATCTTATTTTCATTAAGAGAGCTAATCTGTGTATTGAAGGTGTTTGAAATGCAGAGATCAAAAAGGACTTTGTTATGACTAACAATATAAAGCTTTGAATAAAGCAGACTTCAGAAGTGTAAGACTGGAAGTTAAATGTTACCAGTGTGGTGTATATGCTATTCTGAAGAAAATAAAGTCTGTTTTATATGAGATAAATAGGTGTAGAAGATGATAGTTTTAGTGGATGTGTCCTCACAGACAAAAGCCTTGGTTGTAGTTGAACTATTCCTGCTCCTTGTACTGTGCAACCATAAACACCCAGGTTTTCTCTGAGAAGCCTGTCTGTACATGTGTCTTACTATACCTAAATTTATCTGTATTTTACACAAAACTTTACAAATCTTGGGATTGTTCGGTCTCTTAACCCAGAATGGTGTCAGCCACTAGAAACTGGCAACTAAACATTTCAAGAGCAAATTCTCCTGGGTGTTCCACTGCTAATTTCTTTCAGGAGCTGTACTGATAGCTTTTAAACCTCAGTGTTTTATAGGTCAGATAAGGTGAGTCTCTTTAAAGAGTCATTAAAGTGAGAATGTTTTGAAAAGCTCCCAAACAGGAAACCCTGTTGTTCAAGGCTCTGATTGAAGTTTTAGTAGCTAAAATTAGACCTTTTTGTTCCCATACCTTTAAGAAGTAACTCTTGCTTACATTATTACAAAGTGGTAGCCAGGCTTTAATTACTTTTAATGTATTAATGTGCTTGGAGTTGACTTTTTTGGAATTCATTAAGTCATAAGTTAAAGTGTAATGACTGTGAGTTTGGAGGGAAAGGACTTCAAAGCATTTCACTGTAAGTTTATTGCTAATAATTTGTTCTGGTTTTGTTTTCTGTCATAGTTCTGTCTTTCTCCTACAAGAGTTCACTCCAGTGCTGTTGGAAGGTTACAAACAGGGCACTACCTGTGCTGCCCTGGGGTGTTGATGTCCTCAGCTGTTATAGGAGAAACACTAGACCTGGAACCCAGTTTGTTACTGGTAAGAAGTAATTGTCATGGATTTTATTGTTTCTTTATTCAATATTGTGGTTTACATGTTTTCTTTAACAAAATCAGCAAAAATCACACGTTACTTTTAAGAAAAATAAAGCAAAATATGCATATCTGGTCTTTTATGTTTTCTGGTCTTTTCTGTTTTCCCCCTAAAATTTTTAACTTTACATTTTCTAAATTTTGAATTCTAATTACCCTCCTCCCAAAATGTGGAGGACAGCAGGTTTTCACTTACCTCTCATTTTCGGTCCTGGTTTTCTCTTGAAATTCTTCATGTGCTGTCAGAGCTAATGAAGGATAATAAATGAATTTTTCTATGAAATCCTGTGTTTTGGCTGCACTTTTATGCTGTCCAGCTCCTGCACATTGGCTGACCCATAACTTCAGGTGGATGGTTTGACAAGTCAAAGGTCACAGCCAAGTCTCTGGTTTAAAGTTTTGGAGTATAGTGAAATGTTTAATGATGACTTCCTGCTATTTTAAGTTGTGCTGTTGGAGTTAGATTTTGCTTGTGGCTCTTGTTCAGACTGTGGAAACAAATCTTTAATGGCATGGTGAAATGCTGGAAGTGTGTAGTGTTCTCCTCTGCTGTTAGAAGTTTATTCATGGACTTTTGGATTGTATCTGCTACAGACTCTAATCAGAGGTTTTATTAATCTTTTAATAAATGTTGCTTTAATGTTGCCTATGATGCATCAACATTGGCTTGAAGTTGGAGAAATTCTAGTGAATCTTGATCAGACCAATGTTGATAAATTTATGCAGGGACTTGGGGTTCTTTTTGCCCTGCAACCACTGACAATTCAGTGAGCCTATCAAATTTGGTAATGAAAATAGAATTAGTATTTAAGTTTACTGAAAATCATGTGCCCCCACCCCAAGCCCTTTCTATACTTCTATAGTTCTCAAAGTGAATGGTGAAATTTTTATTTTCTTCCTGTGAGTCCCAGCCCATGAGGCTGAACTTGCACTGGTGGGCTGCAATTAAACTTTCCCATCCCTGGTCATCAGGGAGCAGTGGTACACGTTGTTTGTATGAAACCCTGAGCTCTGAGTGACCCCTCTGGCTCGAGGGTCTGGTTTGGTCTGTTTATAAACATCTGCCTCCTTCTCCTCAAATTCAGAGTTGTGGTTGGAATGACCAACTTAGAACAATAGATGATTTGTTTTGGGAATAAGAATAGGGTAAAGGAGTTTCTCTTTTGGCAACTGTTCATTTTTGTAAGCTGTTACTTATATCTATCTTGGACAAAACTAATCATGTGTGTATAATTTGGTGTTATATAGTATCAAGAAATTAAAACACCTTCAGAATTGTTTGCTGCTGTTCCTGGGGCACACTTGTGAGAAAACACTGCACTTGTGGAGATTTGTGCTTGTGAAGCTCCTGAACAGTGTCTTTGCAGAGAGTTACCATCCATGAATATCCTGAGTCTTCTTTTTCTCTCCTTTACTGTCCTTTTCAGTTCCTAAGGGGTTTTGTTCTCCATTCTTTTCAGCACAGGGCAGATGGAGAGTAGGAATCATGTGTATTTCTGTTGTCTTTAATTGGATAAAAGTGAAACTTGCATGCACACTGTGTCTTGTTGTGCAAGGAAGCATTTCAAGCCCAATCTCACCTTGCAGAGCTCCTTTGCAGAGGAATTTTAAAAATGTTGGAATGTCTTGGGAGTGGAAACATGGACAGGACACAGGGGAAGCAGAGAAGTGGGGTGTGTTTGCTGGGTTTTTCTGTAATAAAGCACTGGAGTGAACTGGAGTTCTTCCTTAATCTGTTTTTACTTTTCTCTGAAGGGAGGAGGGGGAGGAAACAACACATTTTTGGTTAAATTCCAGTTGGCATGTTTTCTCTAGGGAGCAGAGTGGTGGAGGAGTGCACTAGTGAGCATTTTGGTGCTCTTTACCTTTGGTCCTTGGTATTAAGTGTAGAAACATGCTGAGAAAATTGATATAGACAAAGTTCAATTTAGTTTAAATCTTCAGTTCACTTACATTCCCAGAAAAGAAAAAGTAAACAACCAACCAAACAAATCCTAACAACAGCAAACATCCCCCCTCAAAAAATACTCCAGGCCTTTTTTTTTCCCCCTGTTTTCTTTCTGAGGGAAGGAAGTTTATTTTTGTCCCCACTATATCCCAGGGGACTGCTCTGCAGAGGGTTTTGTGTGCAATTCATTTCTCATCTTGACTTTTTGTCAAAATTTAAGTAATGCAACAAATTTGTGCCCCCTAATTTTAGTGGTGTTAAGATTTTGGTTAGGAGACTCATTCATTCCTGGGCTGAGAAATTTGCCAACAAATAAATATTTGCTCTTCTTAAAACCTTTCCAATAGAAAGCAAAGTGTGATTTAGACTCTTACTGTGCCATCAGGTGCTATTTTCATGTTTAAATAACTGAACTGACAGTGTAAAATAAACCATTTTCATGGGTTCACTCTAGCTAGGGTTAAAGATTGTATAAATTATTAATGCTTACTTCAAGACCAGGGTTTTTCTGATATGAGAAATAAAAAGAAATGTATCTTGATGGAAGTTTGCATGAAAGTGACTCTTAAATCTGCTCACTTTGTGTTCTTTTTGTTGTTACGTGCAGTGGTTTGGGACTTTTTTTTTTTTAGTTCTTTTTGGAGAAGTAATAGACTTGAATTACTGTACTGCCTGTGAACTGGCTTATGAAGAAAGCCTGATCTGCTACAATTTTATTTTGTGGAAAATCTTCAGATGAGCTGTCCTGGTTCATTGGCTTGCTGGAAAGCTGTGCTGTGGCCATGTGGCCTAAAGAATTCTGGTAGATGCTCAACTTTTAAAGCCTTCATGTACTAAAAAGAGCTGAGATGAATGATGTATTTTTTGGTTTATCTTCGAGGTCTGTTTCTAAGAAACCTCCACAGTTTATACCATCTTCATTGTGCTTCTACAGAAGTTTGAAGGGTACAGCTTTTCTGAAGAAATTTTTCCACAACATTTTTAAAGTGGAAATAAATATCGTTACTAGGGAAAGGGGAAAAAAAAAAATAAAGAAAAACAAACCATCAACAAGCCACAAAACAGCATGTGAAATTGGAACATGAGAGCACAGGGTTTTAAAGCTTCCTGAATTTTTAACTACTAGAAAATTGCCTTAAATTTAACTTGGATTAATTCCCTAGTGATCCTTGACATTAAACGGATGTTCTGGTTTGACATGGGTAGACAGAAAGCTAATTAATTCCTCTGAATTTGAGGCATATTTAATTTTCTCCCCCAAAGACCTCTTGTTTAAAAGGTACAATGCTGTGACAGATGTTGGCTGTGGAGCGACATGTGTGAAGGAGCAGACCTTGTGACAGAGGAAGATCAAGACATCTACAGTGATAATTCCTGATTTGGAAACTGTTACATTTTATTGATTACACTGAACACAGGAGTATCCACCTCACTGCTTGCTTAAAAGTGCTGTAATGTGCCCAATTCAGTGGCCAGTAAGGAGCCTTGCATAGATTTTTGTGTCTTTGTGTTTAGTAAAAATTCCCTGGTATCTTTTCTCTGACCTTATCTTCTATTTCCTGAAGAGATGAGGAAGACATCCATCCATCCATCCATCCATCCATCCATCCATCCATCCATCCATCCATCCATCCATCATACCTGAACCTCAAACTGCTCCAGTCTAAACCAAAAATAGCAAGAGACATATTTTAAATTTTGTATTTCTGCCACAGGCAGCTTAAAAAAGGACAAGGTGTGTCTGAGGTGGACTGTTATCAGTGGGTGAGACCCCAACCCACTGAAGTAAACTGAATAAATGTATGAGATAGCAAAGAAGTAAAATCTCAAGGAATTTCCAGTTGAAGAAGGAAAGATGTTGTGCCATAAATTCACAAGAGCAAGTGGAGACATTGACAAATACTGCAAATCTGTATGAAATTAAGGAAGAGAAAAATATCCTTGCAGGAGATTTCCTGCCCCTCCTCCCCACGGTTCCAGGGATTTGATGTCTTGGAATATGGATTTTAATATCCGTGAAGGAACAGTGAAAGGAAATGCCATATCCAAAACATTCTGACCCTTTCCTCATTGTGGACTCTGAGGTTTTCTTACATCTTCCCCTGAATTGTGTGGATATGGCAGCTGTTGGAGACACGACTGGTGATGGACAGCTCACTTTATCCTATGTGGCGATTCATGTTTCCTAAGGGGACTAAGCTGATTCTTCAGCTCCTAAAAGTAGATGCTGTAGTGGTTTCTGGAATAAAGACAAAACTGAACTGTCACTCTGCCTTAAGAGGTGGTTTTTCCAACATGGAGATGTTGGGAAATGCTGGCAGCCACCTCCAGAGCCTGGATTAGAGAGATGCTGTGCTGGCTGGTGTCATCACAACCTTTTCAGGCCAAACATCTGAAAATTAATTTATTTTTTCTTTTTGTATTCTCTGACCCTGATTCTTGGTTTGATTTTCATTGATTTATTTTGTTTATTTGAGACAAAGATGGTGTCTGGATGAGGATTTGGTCTGAGGTCTCTGGGCAGATTTCTGTGGTGAATAGGTGTGTGCAGCTGCACTGGTATTGACCTCTTGCAGTTCAATTTTAAAAAAAAATATTGGCTTCTCTGTGCATTCTGTGCTTAATTCTGCAGAAAAGCTGCACGGCTTTGAAGTGGATGAACACAGTTCAGCCTGTTTGTGTTGCAGGAAGATGGTCCTTCCTCTCTTGAGGGAAACAAACATTTCTCAATGATCAGGGACTAGCTGGCTTTGCAAATTAGAATTTCTGTGGCTGCAGAGGCAGCTCCATCCTTGCAGAACTGGAGGAGCTTGGAGCAGTCTTACATAACTTGAACTTTTGAATCATCAGGTGGCTCTCTTGGAGAAGGTCCCGCCTCACGAATGTTCTGTGGGCTGGGAGGTGCTTTTCTAGCCCACAGTGTTGACTAAACTGCTGCTATTTTGCTCCTGCCGATGATAATAATAGCACAGGGTAGAGGAAGGGGCCAGGCTACTTGTGGATCTGTGTTCCACAGCCCAGGAAGCACACTTGAATGTGCCAAGGAAACTTCCTGAATCACGGCTGTGCTGCCCACTGCTGCGAGCCAGTTTGAGCAGATGGGATTGAATTTGTGTGTGAACCCCGTGGATGTTAGAAAGGTGCTCCAGGCTGGAAACAGCATCCTTAATGCCAGTGCAAACACTGAACCATGTGTGCTTCAGGGCTGTACGACCTCAGAGGTTTTGTTTTTATAAGTAACAACCAGTAGCCTAAATCCAGGCTTCTTGATGAGTGTGCCTGCACATAATAACGTTTGGAACTGGGTCCAGTTTTACAGTTGTGTGTTGACATGTAGGCCCTCATGTCAGTTCTTCAGTTGGGACTTTTTATATTAGAACAAATTTTAAGCTTCTGAGAGAAAGGAGTAAGGTATCCTTCACCTTGATGCTCTTAATTAAACCATGGACCATTAAACTCTTGGACCATTAAACACTGTTCCATAGTAGATAAATCTTGGTAGTAAGTTCCAAAAAAAGTGGTATAGAGAAAATGGCAGAATTGAATGCTAAAGGATTTGTAAAGCTGTGGCATCAAAGGCAAAGATGGAGTTGCAAAGACAGTAACTGGAAAAAAATGCAATCTGAAAATCCTTGCACTGCTGATTACTGTCAACACTTAGGACCTTTTTTTCTGTTTTGGAGTGTAAGAGGAGGATAATCTGGAGCATAACTTAGAAGATACCTTGCTGCTGGCACTCACTAGCCTTTTATTTTGGATAATACTGCCAGATTTTATGAAAGGTGATCAAAAGCCCTGTGAATTTTTCTCAGCTCTATGTTGGTCATAAAGGTCATTACCTTTCTTTAGGTGATGATGAGAATTTCTCTACTCAGTGTCTGAGGGTGGCTGCAGGGTAAACTTGGAGATGTAAAGCAATTACATGTTTATTGCAGAGTATTGGTTGAGCTTCAAATAACATTAATATCATAGTTGTGATCTGTTGCCAGTTTAGTTTGGGTGGGGACTTAAAACTTTGTGATCTGTGGTCTTGGATTTGTTTGTTGTTCCTCTGACTTTTAAATCAAGTTTATAGCCCCTCCATGGCAGTGTAGCAAGGGAAATGCTGGGTTCAGTCAGCTCTTGCTGTTTGAGGATTCCAGCTCTTCTGTCTGCTACACACGATGCTCGTTCCCTTGAGGAAAATGTGTTACAGTGTGCCCCTCAGTAATCTGTGGGCATCTGAGCATGGTTTCAAGTGCAATATCTCTTTTAAAACCAAACTTCAATGAATTTACAGTAAGAACTGACAGCTGTTGTTCTCTGGTTACCTCAGATGGGTTTTCTTACAAGTCCGTAGTAATTTAAAGAAATGTTTCTCTGGGATGTTATGAGACACTGGAGGATTGGCTTCAAATCTAGTCCTTTTTAATGTAAATTATTTGAAGGCTGGTCAAAGTAAGGTGCATTCTGTAATGAATGTGGAGGCGTTGCAGGCAGTAACTGTATTTGTGGCACTCTTCCCAGATGAACCTGTTGCTTCTTTTGGTACAACCTGGGGTTTGTCTCAGTCTTGTCTTGGATTCTGTAACCCTGTCATTTCCTTCCCCCCTGCAGGACTTGTGGAAGAGGAAACATAAAGATCTCCAAATGAATAACCGAAAGGAAGATATGGAAATTGCTTCCCACTACCGTCACCTGCTGCGGGAGCTGAACGAGCAGAGGCAGCACGGGATCCTCTGCGACGTCTGCATCATCGTGGAGGGCAAGATCTTCAAGGCTCACAAAAACGTCCTCCTGGGGAGCAGCCGCTACTTCAAAACCCTCTACTGCCAGGTCCAGAAAACCTCTGACCAGGCCACAGTCACTCACCTGGACATCGTCACTGCCCAGGGCTTTAAGGCAATCATTGACTTCATGTATTCCGCACACCTGGCGCTGACCAGCAGGAACGTCATCGAGGTGATGTCGGCTGCCAGCTACCTGCAGATGACAGACATCGTGCAGGCCTGTCACAACTTCATCAAAGCAGCTCTGGACATAAGCATCAAGTCTGATGCCTCGGAGGATCTCGTCGATTATGAGCTGGGAGCCCCTTCCAGCAGCAGCACGGACGCTCTGATTTCGGCAGTCGTGGCTGGCAGGAGTATATCCCCCTGGTTAGCTCGGAGAACGAGCCCGGCAAACTCCTCTGGGGACTCAGCCATTGCCAGCTGTCACGAGGGAGGGAGTAGTTATGGGAAAGAGGATCAAGAACCAAAACCAGACAGCCACGAAGACATTTCGTCCCAGTCTCTCTGGGCTAGTGACATGGGCTATGGGTCTTTGCGAATCAAAGAGGAGCAGGTGTCACCGTCCCATTACGGAGGGGGTGAGCTGCATTCTGCCAAGGATAGTGCAATACAGAGTGGGTTCTCAGAGCAAGGAGTGGGGGATGGCTGGCAGCCCACGGGCCGCAGGAAGAACAGGAAAAACAAAGAAACTGTGAGACATATTACACAGCAAGTGGAGGATGACAGCAGGGCAAATTCTCCCGTGCTGCCCCTTTTACCTGCCTCAGGATGGCCGTACAGCAGTCGAGACCCAAGTAAGTCTTTCTTCCAGTTTTTGGGGATGAAACTGAGAACTGAGAATTGAGTTAATTAGATCTGTTTATGGGATGATCTTATCAGCCTCTGGAATAGGAGCTTGCCAGAAATACAAAAATGTAGAAACTTGTGTTGCCAGCAGTTCAGAAGCACCAAGCACAGTGCAGTCAGTCAGGAGCCTCAATGGAGGCTGGTTCTCCTGTAAAAGTGGTGATTTTGTTTTGGCTTTGAACAACATAAATCCCCCCAAAACCACCACTCTAACTGCTGGAATTAATGAGAGGAAGGGTTAAAGGAATTTATTTTAGCAGGTGCGGACATTGATGTCAAGGTTGAAAAATTTTCCTTGCACAGTATATTGATGATGTAATTACACCACACACACAGGTGTAATTTAGTCTTACCGATACCATCTTCAGAATTTCCTGATATTCAGGTGTCACTTTCTCTTGGGTAAGAAAACCACCATAGCTTCTTGATGGTAATGGCAGGGTAAGTGTATAGTAACTCTCAAGAACAACATGTTTTTCTGAGGCATCACTATGGCTTCAAGTGTATTTTGATGTGTGACTACTTGTGGTCTGAAATGAGTGACTGGGTTTAAAGTGTGTAGCCAGTGAGCAAATTGTTTTCTTAACTTCCTTTGAATCTTCAGTAGTTATTATTTTGTCTCAAGATAATTGTCCCATTTAATTCATTAATCAGTGGCATTAAATAGATTCAGGAACACTTCTGAATTAGGAGTTTGGTGTTTTTTCTAAGGTCTTATAGGAGTGTGTTAGTAAACTCTCTCAAGCTGACTTCAAGAACAGTCTGTGCTGTGAGTTAGCCTGTGTTTCATTGCATACCAGAATCCAAGTCAGCCAGGAGAAGTGTGTGAGATTATAGACTTTTATGTTGCCAAATTTGGATTAAAAAAACAATACAAAGGATACTGAAAGTCTTAAAAGTCTTTATGGGCTGAAAAAGAAGTTGCTCACATACTGGAGTTTAAATGTGGTTTTCATTGAATAGTAACTGCAGATGTCTTGAGATTTATTATGTTTTATGGTTATCTGCTGCAGTAAGATAATTGCATGTAATTATTCTAATTAGCTGATGATAAAATCTAAACAATGTCAGTTGGAAGAAAAATGTGAGAATTTAAGGTAACAGTGATTTTTGAAGAATCTCATTTTTGCAATGCATGTATTTTATCCTTGTTTTGAGTGAAGACTCAGCATGGATTGCATGGTCTCTGTTCTAATGCAACTGTTTTTCATTTTCCATGGCATCCCATAAAAACAGCTCGATCACTTGTACTGTCTGAGGGATGTGGGTTTGGACAGGTACCTGGAGTGAACCAGACATGTTGGAGTGGCTGCAGAAACAGAGCTGCAGCTCTGATCCTCTTGGAAAGCTGGTGTAGATTGAGTGTCTTTACAGAAAATAGTGCAGAACAGAAGAGGTTGTATTACTGGAAGCTGAAGGAAACTTAGATTATTTAATTCCTAATTGTTAAGGAATTAAATTGCAGTGGCCGTTGGCAGATGAGAGGAAGATGGCTCGGGGGGTTGACTCAGCACAGTGCTGAGACAGCACGTCAGCAGGCACATCAAATTATTTGTTCCAAATCTTGCCTTAAATGCAGTTTCCAATAAAGGAGGTGGTTTCAGTGGTGGGAAAAGGGCAGCTGAATGGTGGTGGCTGGGGGAAGAGTTTCAATATTTCAATAGTGCTGGTAACAGAAAAGTTAAAAATGAATGGCAAGACTTCTTGCTGTCCAAAATGAACAGGCTCGGGGGCTGCCTGTGCTGGCAGTGGCATCTGGCAGAGAGCAGTGTGTCCATGAGGAACAAGGGGGGTGTGTGGAGACTGAGCTGCTCCTGGGTTCCCCATATTGACCATCTGGAGAGGTGAATGCAGGTAAAATTCTCCTTTCTGCCCTGCTGGACAGGGAGGTTTCTCTGCATTGTGAGGCTTGAAATTATGGCATGGGTGCATGTGGGCTTAACAGCAGGGATTGTCTCTGCAAGCCCTGTGTGTGTTGTGGTGTCTTTGGGGATTTTTTCAGTATGATTTCAAAGGATTTGAGATCCATATGTGTTCAGTTTTGGTTAACCTTGGACACCTTGTCCACAGGCAGCTTCTTGTGTGGTAAACCTGTGGTTTGGGGGAAATCAAATGGGCACTCAGGTGAGGCTGCTGCTCTTTCACTGGGAAGTACAAGCAACCCTGCTACCCCAAAAAACATCCCTGACTGGGGCCCTGCATGCAGAAGGGTCTTCTGGTCTTGCATGGGTATTTCCCATACTGAGCAGATGGGAGATATTTTCCTGCAAGCTTCACATCCTGAGCTACAGGGTTACTCTTAGGCTGGATTTTGGTACCCCAGATTCTTCCATCTCCTGTTAGAATTCAGCACTGCTGAATAGGGGTGTTGCAGACTTGACTCCTAAGTGCGAAGAATAATTGATTTTCTAGTGTGCAAATGGGTAATGACATAGTGCAGAGACTTGTAACAAGTATTTGGGTTGTGTTTAAATTCCAGCTTGAAGTTGTCTTTGATTTAGTCATGTCAAGTTTCATTTTTTAAAACAGACTTCATAGTCTAGGGCTCTCTTTTACCTCATTTATTTAGAAGTGCCCCTATCAGCGATATTCACTGCTAAGGTGGAAAGCTACTCACTTACTGAGGAAATGGGTGTTGGATGTTCTTTCTGAAGTAACTGAGAGGAAAGAAAGTTACCTAGAACTCTTTGTTCTTTAAGGCTTGTTCACTTTTCTGATCTAATCAGTTATATTAAGATGCTGCTTGCTAAGGCTGAAAGCTCTTGTTGGGTTCACTGGAGTGGTTTACAGATGCCTCTCTACTGCTGGGCCAACACAGATACTGCATTCTGGAAATGCAAAAGCTGGTTTAGGAGAACACTTCTTCAAAGCTCAGTCTTCCTTCTGAAATTGTGCAAGGTACTCTTTTTGTCTTGGTTGCAAACAGCACTGCATTCCAGCAGCATTTTGGAAGGGGAATCTTGCAAGTAACCATTGCATCACCCTTTAAATTCAGTGATTATTTGGGGCAGGATATTCACAGATGAAAAATATGCTTCCTACTCCTCTGTTATGTATAGCATTATTTAATTCCTCTCCTATTACAAAGAAGCACATTGCAGTCACTGAAACTTTGCTTTTGAAACAACTGGACTCATTCACACTCAGCAGAGGTGTTGCTTTCAGTGGGAAAAAATTTCTTATCAGTACAGGCAGGTGTATTAAAGTGTCCCAAATATTTAAGTAGACTAAATACAAATCAATGGCATCTCAAAAAAAGACACAGATTTTATTTAAATTGAAAAGGTAAAAAAATTTTCTGCAAATCTGTTGATTTCCCATTAGCTGGTGGGGTGCTATTGAGAGTCTTTAAATCTGACAACATGGGAGATTAAAATAAAAAGGGGTGTCTGGAGTAATCTTATTAATAGTAATCTAACATAATGGAAAAAGCGAGAGAATGTTAATGTCTGCCATGAAGATTGTCTTTTTCATCCAAGAAAGAACGATCAGATAGGATGTGCAAAAGAATGCAAATGAAAAACTGAGGTGCTGGATTGGGACTGTGATCCAGCTCTCAGTTTCTCAGGCTGGTGTCAGTCAAGCACAAAGCTTGATGAGCACCATCTTTTCATGCTAGTTTCTATTTATTAATTTGGACTGTCTGTTTAACATCAAACACATTAGGTTTTGTCTTTATCATCCTGTTTGGGTTGTTCAGGATGTCAGTCTGTCATTCCTTGTAGGAAACATTCATCTATATGTTTTCCTCACCAAGACACATTAATTTGAAGCAGCAGTTCTCCAAAGTAAACTGAAGGATGGGCTTTTATAAATAATACCTTTCTTCATAATTGAGCAAAGAAGAATTTCCTCCATGGACTTGCCAAAAGAACAGGCTTTCTAAAGAAACGTGTTGCTCTTTCTTAGTCTTCCTATCAAAGATGCTTATGAAATTCAGAAGTAGTCTTATGCCTTGAACATCTTTATTTGCCTTAAGTTCCTATTCCTTTAACCTTGCTGGATAAAATTTTTATGGCATTACATATCCCAAGTGTGTGGACTACAAGATCAGGTGGTGTTTGGAAGGCTCTTGCTGAAGAGAATGGATATCTCTACTGTTAAGCCAGCAAAGCGTTGCTGGTTTTGCCTCTTCACGTAATGGAAAACTCTGTCACTTGAAGGGTGTGTTTTGAAGAATTTATTGACAGCTTTATTAATGTGTTAGTTCAAGCATGGTAGTTATGATTCAGGAATTTATTTCCAAGGAAATACTCCCACACATCTTCTGAGTGTTTGCACCCAAAAGCTGCAAGTGAATTTCTGTGTGCCAATTGACTGTGAAATGAAGCTAATTATTTTAAAAACAGAGCAGCCCTTTCTAAAGGCACTACAGTTTGGGAACTTTTTTCTTTCCTTTAATACATGTAGCAGAGTTGCTGTGTTCTGTTAAGAAGAGCTTCAAGACTCGACTAAGCCCAGACTAGTGATCCCCATGGGAAGGACAGGCGGGACTTCACTGTGTCCTTCTGACTTTGCAGAGCTCACAGTTCCTTTAACATTTTCCCCATCAAAATCTTTAATTATGCACAAGTTTCCTCCCTCCCGGTGAGGAGCAGTTGAAGTGGCTCGTTTTCCAATGCCACACGTGTGGCTGCTGCAGGGAGCTGTGCTCCCCGGGAAGCCTGGAGACAGCTGGTGTCATCAACATTTCCCATCCCTTTTTCTGTCTTGCTTTCCAGAGAGCAAATTATGATTACAGGAGCTGTTGGGGAGCACAGATGCTGAACAGTTGGATCTCGTAGGGAGCTTACATTGCAAAAGGCTTCAGAGGCAGGCAAGGGAGAACTCATTCCAGATGAACTCGACTAAGTTTCTGCAGGTGAGGTGTCTGGACCTGAGTACAGGCAGGTGAATGTGTGGATTGCCTTATTACAGGATGATTTTATTCTTGAAACCAAGTTGTTTT